CTCATATTACAATTGGAGAAGACAGATTCCATTAGCAGTATCTGAAATTGAGTGGAGAGCTGCACTGTTATCAGACTTGACTCATAAGCACTGCTATTAATCAGAGCTACGATAGCATTTATATATTTCAAGCTATCTGCTGCCTCTGTGATATTCTGCTACAAAGGGTTGATGGGACTTAGGAAAGTGAACAATAGAGCTTTCTGGGAAAAGCAGAGTAAATCAAGAAAGTCTATGACTTCCGCACATTCTGAAGGGATTGTGGTTTACATAAATTTTCTCCCAATTGGAGATTGAGCTCTTCCTCATCTTACACATGGGATTTAGTTGTCACTCAGTGGTAACAGCTGTGAAAAGGTGAAGCGGCCCACCGCTCAGAATATTGCCTTCGCTTTTAAAGCAATTAACCCATGAACAGGAGGATACCTGGTGATATCAAAGGGATTAGGCCAGGCAGTGCATTATTAACATTTCCTTGAACTAATTCTAACTCTGACTAGCTGTCAGAAAAGACTCTACAGTCTTAAAAAAGAGTTTTTGCCCTGCTTTTTCCCCCTTCAAAATGAAGTGCTGCTATTTGAGCCTAATATGTCCCTCTACTTAGAAGAAAATGCAAATGAACCAAGCTCTTAATATGCTTAACCAGTCTGAGTCTATGCAATTTTTATACAAGTATGAGAGAAATATATGATCAATTAACCAGGGATCAAGACAGATATTCTCCTGAATGGAAATTAATGCTCCAGTACTTTCCATTCTTCTTCAACTACAAAAACTTGGTGACTATTTGTTACTTCTGCATAGTTACCTCTGAAATTAGGAAGAGCTTGACATTCTTCTCTATGGCAATAATCTAAAATACTCTGTGAGCTGGAAAATCCAAATGTCCCTTAAGCAGGAGATTCTACATTCTCTAAGGTATGGCATTTTAATTTCCTATTCTTTATTGAATGGAATCTTAGCTGGAGCTATAAGAACCGCAGACACAGTGCTCCGAATCAAGTATTCCTCCTCCAAAAGTTTAATCAAATTAATTTTTAGCAGCAGCATAACGTTTAGAATTGTATCACTTACAAAAAATAAAATACTGGCACAAAAGGATCTGCCAGAAGATATTTAAATATCACTGAAATTGGTTGTCGGTTCTTTGTAGTAAGCAGGCACGGTTTCACTATACCTTCAATTATCATTAATATTCATATATTCTAGGTAACCTGGTTGACATGAAGAGATCTGATTTCTTACTGTACAATGTTAATGGTGTTAGAAAGTTTTTTAATGCAAGTTTCCTAAGACAGTACCTTCTAGAAAAAAATATTTGCAAAACTGTTTATTCAATGGTTAGTGACCTTGTCTTAATTTCTTTAAGTAAACACTGAATTTTGATTATAAAAACTAAAATAGTTTTACTTTCGATTCACAAGAGTCCTCAACAAACACTGTTGAATGAATTCTTCCATACTTCCATTTGGCCCACAATAGTTTGGAAAGGATATGCTGACTCTCAAGCCTATTGAGAGTAGATTTCCTGCCCTGGACCCTACTAAAATACATGATACAAGATATGCCCTGATCTGAGATCATAAGCAATTGAAATCTTCCCTGAGGGAAAGAATTTTTATACAATGCTATCAACATACTCCATTCTCTTTTAGTGATACCAGAGCATAAGAAATGTAAGCATGTTGATGTTGCGAGACAGTGATTTCAGGGCTCCTTCCTTATTAAGTATATAGGACCTAGTTTGAGGTTGCTTAGAAAATAAGTTTGAAATTCAAGTACTAAGCAATGCTAAATCCCATTCATATTAGTGACTTACCTGAGCTGTAACTTTTTAAATTCTGTATTAATAGGATTTGCGAATTTCAAAGGTGACACTTTAGATATCATACCATCAAAACTTAAACATCATTTACTTCAATGGCCTTGAAAGAGAAAATCCCAGTTCCTACAAATCCCTGTGTTATGTAGTCTTAAAAACACAGATGTACACATTAATAAAATGAATACTGTTTCATAGAAATGAAATGTATTAAACTCCCTTCACATAGTGAATGCTGAAAAATACCCCTGAAGGGGACAATACATAAATATATACAGAAACAACTGCCACAATCTTACTATTTTTAATTCAATAAAGTATAGTGACGCATACAGCTTTCAAAGTGCTCTTTTACTCCCATGCTTTCTACATTAGGGTGAAGCGAATATACATGAGTTCTTGTCAACCATTAGGAAAGACTGACAAAAAAATGCAGTGTTAATGACACCTTACGGCTCTTAAAAGCAAGAGAGAGATGCAAGGAAAGCAAAAATTACATAGTAATTGGAAACAACGAATAAATTGTTCTTCCAATCTAAGTCATGTTTACTGAAAAAAATGGAGCTTTTTACATCAACACATTTAAACAGAAATTTGCTTTTAAAATACAATCTTTGTTTAAAAGGTACAGAAGGTCTTTATGTCCACCCCAAGAGCTAAATATAGTGAATGCCATGTGAACAATTACCTGAAAAAAACCTAAACCTGTTAAAAGAATTAATTTACTGCACACCAGTCAGCGCTAATCCTACGTGTACAGTAATGTTCTCTGAAGTGATGGGGGGAGAGAAAGAATAAAACTGTTTCCTGGATCAAAACCCTCCAATATTCCACAACAAAACAGAATGATGATTTGGCCTGTCGATGAATAAAGTAGTCAAATGTCTCCTCAACAAATTCTGATAAAGGAGGCAACCTGTAAAGGAACACATTTACCGGACACTGGGCTGGAAAAAAAGCTGTCACTGTATTGGCTGCACAGGAACTGTGTCCTGCTGTTGGGTTTATATTCACAGAAGAAAGGTTTTAAAGGTTAAGTTCAGGTCATACAACAAATGAAATTGTAACAAGCCAGCTGACATTGTATAATGTCTTCTTCCACTCAATCAATAGGCTACTGTTAGTCCTATTACCATAGAGATGGCTTGCTCTCTCCTGAAGGGTGTCTATTGTTTGACAAAACAGATTTGCCACTTGAACTAGGTTGTTCCCAGAGGACGTGTACCTTGTCAATTATTTGTATTCAAAATAATGAAGTATTTTCATATTAAAATGTATGTAGGAGATAATATTGTGGGATCCCTTTTCTGAAAGAAAGCAACTTTCCCAAGTACAATATTACCAAAACATTCTGAAAACCACTCAAATATCCAGTTTAGTCATATTAAGGGTTTTTGATTTAAAGCCTATTCAGCAAATATACAAATTTACCATTAAGACTGTATTTAAAAAAAAAAAGGATCACAGGTGAAGTGTGCTAATCTAAAACCCATTATAATCAAGCATGATAATAAAAGCTATTTTAAAATGTAGACAACTCAAAGGAAAATTATTGTTCAAAGCTATTTGGATTCTGTAAATATTTTTATGTATGATTTTTACAGTGGTTTTCATGTGGAATGGTATCACCAATTAATATATTGAAAAGCATGGAAAAGTTTTAGAGAACAAATCACTTTATTTGCATAAGAGCTTTTTATAGCCACATAGCATTTAAATATATGTTATAGAAATGATCTTCTAAAATATAAATAAAAAATAAAAAATAAAATAAAATAAATTACAGATGAACTACTAAAATAAATACAGGTATTAATTTTCTTTAAATGCCTTTGTCTTAAATGTCTTGTGAAGATTATTAATTCGTACATTCAATACAAGTAGTTCTACCTTTCAATCTAGATATTTAAAAATGTTAAAGATCAGTTTTTCTCTCAATAAAAATAACGATAAATTCTTAATTATAAAAGACTCAGGAGAAACAATTCTAAAGAAGATTACTCTAATCATTTAGAAAAAGAAAGTATTCATAATACTAATCAATCCAAGCAGAGATGTTATTTTCAACATCTCATTCTGAAAGATTGGCTATCACTGAAAACCTGTAACTGAAATAAAAATGAATTAAATAATGTAGATACAAATGTAGTAAATGATCAACAGTTACAACATCTGAATCTGAAAGCTTTCCACAAATAAATTTAAAAGTAAGCTTTAGGGTTATAATTATGTTAACTTTTACCTTTCCATAAATAATTAAAGAGGAAATTTAGAAAGAATTTAGTCAAAGGGCAATTTTATGACTAACGCAAATAAAAACATTAGTCTCCAAAAATGGCGTTTGAAATTGTCTATTCAAATTATACTATATTTACATACAAAAATTTGTTTTTATAATAAAAACTGCAGTAGTTTTTGAAAGAAGTGTTTTAATTTGGTTCTCCCTTTGCAGGAAGTGTAACTTGTATTTTTTAACTATAATCTCCTTAGGCATAGGTTAGACTGGTTAAGAATGAAGGAGTCAGAAGCAGCAAAGACAAATTAAGTTTACCAACATCCTAAACTAATGACCCATTTTTTAAAAGCAAGGTAGCCTTCCAAACGAAGAAAACCTTCCATCAGTGAAGTATGTGGGGTCTAATTTGCCTACCTTATTAGGAACAACGTGAAACCTTACCAAAACCATATCCCAAACTGATTTCCTTAGTTAACAGCCTCATTTCAAAGAGTATACAACATGTGCATATTTAGGATACAGTATAATTAGGTATTAGCTCTGGACCTGATAGGCAGCTGCCCATCAGCAACACTGTAATTAAATGATATTTATCATTTACCAAAAGATGACCTTCATATTGTTGAATTAAACTGGCCCATCTGCATCTTCATAAAATGACAAACCTTATTAGTTCTGCCTAACCCGAGAACTGTGATAATGAACTGGTGACACCTTGACTCCATTGTAGGAAGCACAACCAACTGTGTAATCACCTGAGGGGTCAAGTGCGTATGAAAGTACTGGAAATTAAGAAAGTGTAATCACAGGAGTGATTAGGAAAACCATTCAAGCAACGTAAGAGTTTTGGTTTGGGGGTTTTATTTAATGCCTGCACTTAGGCCATCAGAACGCTCCATCTCCAATTAGCCAGAATTAATTTTAACTCATCAACTACTTTACCTGAAAACGGTGAAAAAAAGTAACGACGCAGCTACTGCTCCAAACAAGCCACACAGAAGATTGACGCGGTAGGCAACTGAACCAAAAGGAAAGAGCGTAATTGCCAGTTTAGCCACCAGCGTGAACAAAGGATAGCCAGGAGGATGGGCAACCTATGGAAAAATCAGCGAGTTAGAAGGTTTTCACCTCCTACTAAAGAGTCACACTGGCTTTAATTGCAAAGTAGCCCTTTGCTCGGGCAAGTATAAAGATTAAGAGGCAATGTCTACATGTTTGAACAGTGGTTTTCTATTGTAATCCTTTTGTGCCAATACAAATAAATATTTTCTTTAGCGGATTTGGCAGCGTCTAGCACATGGTGTGTCACCTAGAGAAAGGGTGACATATTTCATTGTCAGTTCTTAAGCAGTTTGTTCTCTGGGTTCACAGTACATTAGGGTCATTTAAAAGGCTACTGAAAAAAAGCAGGTTCTGAAATTTCGTATTGGTTAGGAAGTTGAAAGACCACACTGCTATCGGATTACCACCATGCTGACAGTCCTAAGGTCTTGCCTAAAGGGATCATGCACCATAATAAAGTTTATTAAATAATAAACTTATTAAAACTGTTAACCCGATTTATTTTATTCTCCATAGCTTATACAAAATTTGGGGTGATAATAAGCCAGCTACTGTATATATAGTAAAGGCTTTGCTTTATAATTTAGCTTAATTGGATTTAAAACTTAAAGTAAATTGTCACGTACTGTACTTATAAGTTACTAAAAACTGGGGTTTGAAAATAAATTAATCTACTTTACTCCATGCTTAATTAAACTTTCTTAATTCCTAAAACTGTTAATGAGAGCATTGATTAAACAATAAAACTAATACTTACTCCAAGCTCATGTGCAGCTGTGATCAGTTCCCCTGTGAAAAAATAATGTAAAACCAATAATTACTATTAGAAAATGACACTCCTCCAAAGTTTTCAAAATCCAAATGCTTGCACTGGGGTTTTGCATTAATTTGACTGGATAAAACTGTAAATCTGTAGAGATTTAACAGCATGAAATAGTCTAAGGATATTTTCTCCCTTAGGTCTTACTGAACAAATGATCTTTGATAGTTTTTAATAACTGGTCAGTGGAAACATAGGTGAATTCTGGTTTTTAGAAAGTGCTTATTTTCCTTCCTAAAAGTTGTGCACACTTGCAAATATACAAAAATTCTTATAGAATATAAGTATAATATGCTGTAATGTCCCTCAAGAATTTAGTATAAAAATATCTACAAAGATGCAACTTTATGATAATGTAAAATGTGCAGACCTCTGAGGCTTGGACACTCCATAACATGTACCATTCTGCTCTAAACTGGCATTTGAAAACCTTCTCTACATTAATTATGTCGGGTATCTTCAAATAATTGCCGAGCACTTATTAGCTCCAGGCTATTTTGGTAAGCTCTGACTACCGTAATACATTTCTGCAAACCACTAAATCATTATGTTATTTACATAGTCCTTTGTAATTCCTCCCCATCAGCGATTATTTCTAAAATTATGATGCAGTAATTCAATGTCTATTTGTTAATATTTTAAGTATTCAGAGCACAGGTACTATTTCTGATTCATTCCTGGGCACTGTAATACAGGACAATGTAAGAAGTCAATGTTGATGGTTTATGAAAGTTACTAGTATCTATTAGGAAATGTATTAATGTCCATTTTCTATCCTTCGATGGATATCAATGCTTCTTTAATTTCTATTGTCCCAGCCGCGACGTAGATCTTTACCCTCTGGCTAGGGCGACAGCAAGAGCTTTGACCAGTTTTCTACTTCATCTTCATACTGAAATCACCTCTTGCCAGCCCCCCCTCCCCAAAACAGGTTGGATTGTATCGCTAATCCAAAATTTTTCAATGGCTGCTCTCTGCTTACTAAATGAAGTTCAGATTCCTCAGCACAACAGGCTAACCCTCTAAAGGCTTCAAGGTCCCTTTACAAGGCATTTATCAATGAAACCTATGCTCGCCTCAGTCAAATCTGATTACCCACTGTTCCTCTGGAATGGTTCTTTTGCACCTCTTATCACTCATTTTCTCACCCAGTGTTCTCTCTAAATCCTTCAAGGCCTAGTTCAATTGCCACCTTCTCAGTGACACCTTTCTTTATACATACCCTCCCTAGCCTCCCCCACCAGAATTAATCACTTCTTCCTCCTCCATAGAACCTGCTCTAACCTATTTAGCACTTATTTAGATTGCCTTATATTCTCGTTAGTTGTTTTCATTTCTGTCTTTTCTACTAAGTTGAAAATATTATCCTATCCATTTCAGGGGTCTTCAAGACACCACCACCCTTCCCTCCTCTGGTCCCACAAAGAAACTAATTCAAGTCCTGCACACAGAAGTTGACAATAAGACAAATCATACTGTCATCCTTGCTACTCAGACACCCCTATCTTAGGGTGAATGACTGCTTGCCTCATGGAAGCCCCATAAGGGCACCCAACGACAGATACTGCTTTCCTAAGTCAGTTACTTAGGGATACCTTTTGAGTTTTCTGGAGATATTCAAGAGCAATTTGGAAACCAAAGGCACTTTTTCCATCTTAGAGACTTTTTTAAAGAAATAGTTTATGGTCTAAAAATATTTAAACTAACTTCCCTTTGTAACTACTGTTGACACTTGATAGTTTTACTCCAGAATGGATTAGGCTTGTCTTCAGTCCCAAACCGTTTTAATCAGCTTTTTTGGTATTTCTATAGGTATGATGAAACACAATTAAGTTCAAATTTTCAAAGTCACTATTTATTCTCCTCCACGTAAAATGTATTTAGAATTGCATTTAACATTAAGAAAAATAGCCTACTTTCGCTAACTTCTTTTTACCATTAAAAAATCATGTTATTCTTAAGTTCCGTAGGTATAAAAATTGGGGGAATGTGACAAATTTCCATCACCTACTCTTATCAAACGTTAAACTAAAATCTAAATAGGAAAGATAGCTATTATTCAAAGTCTATAAATGCATCCTTGAAAAAAGCTAAAGGGAAACATTACTCTTAAAATGGACTATGATAAAGAGAAAAGAGAAATGTGACTAGGGGGGAACAAAAGAGCCTCCTGGATGCTCGGTTACTCCCAACGCTTTACCCTAGGGCTTCTTCAAATTTAAGTCCTACTACAACTGCACCAGAATTACCTGGATGCTTTTTAAAAATGAAGATTCCTTGACCAAACCTACCTATATTAAGACCCTCTGGCACTGGGGCTCAAGTTTTGCAGACAATTCTGAGGTACATTCAAGTTTGAGAATTACAGCTTTTCTGTCTGAGATGCAAATGGGTGGCAAGCTCAGAATTGTTAGTGGATGCTTATCTTTTACAAAAACCAGCTCCCTCTGCGTTATACTTTTTATATTAATTATGCAATTATATGCTCATCTATCAAGTCTGTTACAGACAGTATCCTTAAAATATATGAACACATAAATAAGCTTTGTTTTTCCCAAGAATAACAAATAGATGTGAAGGCAAGATTCCCACACTCTCCTCCAGAGGATCACGAGTATTCCCACCCATAAATCAACTGAGTATCAAACAGTGCAAGAAATAATTTTGGCAAGGCTACACAATTTGAAAGATTTATGGAGTATAATTTAAGACTTATCAAGAAAAAAAATACATACTTTATACTGGTTTTGAGATGTGTTCTGTTTATTGATAAAAATATATTTCATAAACAACATTCAAGGAGGACAGTACTTTCAACATATAAACAATATTATCAAAGATATGATTATACAAATTTTACTGGCAAGACTTGGAAAAGTTTATTTATCATTCCCAAAAATGAACACCAAAATATTAGAAGCAACCACTATTTGGCATCAAACTAAGCAAATCAGAACACCTAAAAAGTTTGGTAACTCAATGTAAATGGGTAACTTTATTCTACTGGGAAAAAATAACAGTATTAATAAAGACACCAATCATAGATTTTAAATAGACTTTAAATAACACTATATATGTGATGACGGATTTAACAAAGAACTTAGAGCAGAGGTTAAGAGAGTCTGTTCTAAAGTCAATCTACTTGAGGGGCGCCTGGGTGGCTCAGTCGTTAAGCGTCTGCCTTCAGCTCAGGTCATGATCCCAGGGTCCTGGGATGGAGCCCCGCATCGGGCTCCCTGCTCCGCGGAAAGCCTGCTTCTCCCTCTCCCTCTCCCACTCCCCCTGCTTGTGTTCCCTCTCTTGCTGTGTCTCTCTCTGTCAAATAAATAAAGTTTAAAAAAAAAAAATAAAGTCAATCTACTTGAGTTCTTTCCTTGACTGCCCCCTGCTTTCTAGCTGTGTGAATTCTGGACACAGCTGAGCCTTAGTTTTGTCAGCTATAAAAGGAAGATACTGATAGTTCGTACCTCACAGGGGTAGTTAACAAAGGACAATCCACGTAAAGCACTTGGAACAGTGCCTGGCATATAGTAAGTGCTCAGTAAGAGTTATTTTTATTCATCCTATCTGAAAACTTCAGGTTCAAAGAACTAGGGTAAGTAACTGTCAATGTTTTCTTTCTTTCTTTTTTTTTTTTAAGGTACAGAACTACTCAATCTTTAAGTAATGCTCTCCGCATTGTCAAAACTCTCACAACTATAGTTATTTCTATTATTCAACGTAAGCCTTGGAAACATGGTAACTCCATTCCCAACTATACTAATGAAACACTGCTCCTATTTGTTCAATAGGACTTGAAAGAACGAAGGCAATGATTTGGATGTAAAAAGAACATCAAGGATCCTCAACGTGGAAGGCAGCCCGGAAGATGGCCCCCACTGATCCCCAACTCCTGCTGTTCTCACTATATAATCCTCTCCCCCGTGAGCGTGGGCTGCATTTACAGACTGTCAAGAATAAAACAGGGCAGTGGTCTATCAATCACTTCCACGACTAGGTTTAGGAAAGGACAGCCGTGTCAGTCGAGGGTGCCGTCTCTTTCTCTTCACAAGAGTCGGCTTCCCGAGAGACCCACGTGGCGAAGAACCGGACTGAGGTGAGAAGCGAATCCTCTCCCAAGATGAGCCCTGAGAAGACTGCAGCTCCCGCCCACCCCGTGACAACGACCCTGTCCTGAGGAAAGGCACCCAGCCAACCTGCACGGAGATTCCTGATGCACAGGGAAGGCGAGATAACAAACACCTGTTGTTTCAAGCCACTAACTTTGGGGTCATCTTGTTAAGAAGCAAGACGTAACTGTAACTAGTGCACGCCTTTTTTTTTTTTTTTTTTTTTTTTTTCAATCTATAGATTCACCTCGAGAAGTTACAGCACTACCGGCATTATCGGATGGTCACTTAATCTGGCATCAAGACAAAAGCAAACAAAACCAAGCTCTTGCTCCTCTTCCCAAATAGGTAACAAGCCTGTAACAAATACGTAACAACGGCTCCTGTGATTTCCGTGGTCCGTACTTTTCTTTTTAACAGAAGCAGCTTGCTGGAAGCCACAGCTGGCTTCCGCTCTTGCAAGCGTTCTCCCTCAAACCGTGTGCGGGGCCGGTTCCTTTTCAACATTCAGGTTTCAACTAAACACCCTGTTCGGGGGCCTTTCCTGGCCAGCCATTCGGGAGGAGGCCCCACGCCCCCACCTATCCCACATTTCCCTCCCACGGGCTGTCGCTGTGCAGTCGGTAGTGTGCGTGCTGTCTCTGCCCGCCCGAGAACACTCCCCAGGGTACTTGGTCACCACCGCCGTGACTCCTTTTGTCTGGAACACAATAAGGACTCAGGAATGTTTGTGGGCTGAGAAGGAATGGAAAGCGAAAACTCGGGTCCCGAAAAATGACCTGGCCGGGGGCAGGGGTCGGCTAAGTGCCACCAGGCGAAACCAGCAAGCCCCTTCTCCGGAGCCAGAGCCGGAGAACGACAGACACCAGTTACAGGAACGGAAAGAGAAGTTGGCCTGGCACGCAGAACCCCGCACGGAGCACGGGCAGGCGGACCGGGGGGCGCGAGCTGACCCACCAGGGAGAGGGGCGGGAAGGCGGCCCTGAGATACTTTACCCGAGTCTCCCCCCGGCACCGAGGGGGGCAGCGTGAGGGTGAACACGGCGGCCACGCCGGCGAACACGGCCACGCCGCCGCGGAGGCCCCCGGAGCGCCGCGGCCCCACCCGGGCTGCCCGCCCCCCGGCCGGGCCCCCGCCGTCGCCGTGGAGACCCATGGGCCCCCGTGGGGCCGGGGGAGGGAGGCCGCGGCAGGCCCAAGGACTCGGGCGGCCCGGAGCTTTCCCGGCGAGAGGCGAGCACAGCCCGCGCGGAGGCTTCCGGGTCGGGCCTCGGCCCGCTCCCCGGACCGCACCTTCCTCCGCCGGGCGCGGGGAGAGGACGCGGCCCGCCTGGCATCATCCTGCCGGGGGTTCGGTGGTAGCGCGCCACGCGCTGGGACCCACGGGGGTACAATGTGCTTTACAGTCGCCCACCACGAGCAAGAGCCTTCTCTTAAGAAAGCAAGCCTGGGCGCGGGACTGCCATCTCCACGCCCCCCCCCCCCACTGACTTGGTCGGGTCTGACAGAGACGGAGCGGGGTCGCAAACCGGGGTGCGCCAGGGCCGCCTCTGCCCCCGCTGGTGTGGGGTGGAACTACACCGGAGGGCCGCGGACGCCCGCCGGAGCCGCCCGGTGCCAGAGCCCGGGCAAGCGTGCGCGCAGCGAGCGCGAAGCCCGCCAATACATCGCGTCAACCGCACGTTTACTACGATTACTTACAAGCCCGTGTGCGAATTGTTAAATCGCTGAGTTACTTTCAGAGAGATTAAAATACGCTAGTTGGTCTATTTTTTTCCGTATACCACGAGGAAAACTCAACCGGTGAGTTGAGAAACTTGAGTTTCTGTGTTAATACCAATAATTCGTATCCTGCTGAAGTTGTCTCCTGCTTTGATGAACAGGGGTATCGCGGTGGAGCTTTGACACAACGTGACAAATGAAACGGAGATGCGGTGCGCTGTACACGGTTAGCTGCGATGCAAGGAAGAACGTGGACTACAGGACAACCACGTAGCACGGCTCTTAGTAAGATTTTTAAGCTTACATTTTACATTATTATAGTAATTATTCTGAAGTGGGAGGGGAGGAGGGCATCCTCTGTGGAATGCATCTCAAAATACACCAAAGATTAGTGACAATCTAAAACGTGTCACAAGTACTCTGAGTGGAACACTTGGTCTCAACTGTGGAGTAACATCCACCTACATAGGCTGGCAGTTGCGCCACCAATACCTTAGTCTTCCTCAGGTACTTAAATAATACTTTCTCGGCCATACTGGGGGTTCCTGGAGAGCATGGCCGTGTGGTAGGCAGCTTCTAAAACAGCTCCCTGGGCGCCTGGGTGGCTCAGTTGGTTAAGCGACTGCCTTCGGCTCAGGTCATGATCCTGGAGTCCCGGGATCGAATCCCGCATCGGGCTCCCTGCGCAGCGGGGAGTCTGCTTCTCCCTCTGACCCTCCCCCCTCTCATGCTCTATCTCATTCTCTCTCTCAAATAAATAAATAAAATCTCTAAAAATAAATAAAATAAAATAGCTCCCAATGATCCCCTGACCGCGGGTATTCTTTCCTTTATGTAATCCTTTCTCTGGTGTGGGGGCCAGAGCTCTCAGTATGGTAAGGCATGAGTGATGGATTAGGTTTATAAAAAACTGACTTTCCATTGTGCTGACACAGGCTGTTTTCTGTTTCTTTTCTGAAAGAGCACGCCAATGATTCATGCTGACTGAGCCAAGCATGTCCCTTTCATCTTTTGCTTCTGAGCTCTGTAAAAAGATACATTTTTATCATGGCAAATTATTTTCAAAAGGGCATAATTCTTTGCCCGTGTATGGGTAGTAGAGATCAGCGTTGGAAGTAGGAATTTGGGAGTTCTCATGTAGGGATGAGAAGGATGCGTAAGTTCACCGAGGCATAGTATATCGAGAACAAGGTGAAGGTCAAGTATTAGCCCCTATTTTCGTTTCGGGAATGGCAGGAGAGGAGGAGAGAACAGTGGCAGAGGGTCATGTGTCCCAAGAAGCTATGGAAGAAATGATGTCAGTGAAGGATATGTGGTCAGGTTGTCACAGAGGGGGGAAGGACGGTGAGGAGGGCCAGATGGAGGTTTTATGGGGCTTGAGTTTATACAATTTGGAGAATCATCTGAGCAAAAGAATACAGAACTGCAGATACAAAATTAGGTACAGGCATTGGAAGGAGCCTGCCTGCTAGTGACAGGCCGTGAAACTTAAGCTTCGTTAGCTTCACAGTTAATCTCCTTTGACGATGAAGTAGGGCCAGTGCTCTGTGCCCGACTCTGCCTCTCAGGACGTGGGCTGATGCTTTGCTCCCACCTGGAGCCCGGTCTCCTCCAGGCTTCCCTGAGAGGACGCTGCTTTGGCTCTCCTTCTATCACTGGCCTCTCTGCCCTGGCTTCGCTTCTGTCAGATCTCCAAATACTAGAGTGTGCCAGGGCTCACTTGTAGACTTATTTTTTCTTTCTGCCTCCTTTCCCAAAATAATTTTATTGAAATTTTAAGTAGCAACTAGAGTCTAATAAATTCCAAAACTACACACTGCCATTCTTTCCTTTAAGCGACTGCTTTTAAAAGAAAATAACTGCACTGTGATTTCCCTATTTATATATCTAAACAACATCTCAAACCTGGCAGTCTTTGCCTGTCTTATTTGCACCATATACCATGCCTAAAATGGTGACTGGCACAAAATAGTACTTAACAAATATTGGCGTAATGGATGGATACATGCACAATGAGAGACCACTGGTGTACCTGTTAGGGATTGCATTTAGCTCCTGGTAACAGAGACTCTGCTACAGTGTCTTCAACATGCAAGCATTTATTTTCTTATGTAGAGGTCTCAAAGCAGTCAGTCCAACATTGATTTGGCAACTCTCTCATGTCCTCAAGGAAAAAACTGAGCTCCTTATATCTCCCTGCCCCATCCTACTCAACTTACGTCCTCAAGGTCATCTCTTGACCCATGATGGATGCTAATGCTCCATCTGTATTTGAGGAAGAAAGAGAAAGGATAGGAAGTGATGGGAATATCCCAGCCTTTTAAAGAAGGTTATGGAAATGCCATTCCACAATTATGCTATATTTCATTGGTCACAGTTGATTAACAGGCCACACCTAGGGGCAGAGGCAGTTGAGAAATGTACCTTTGCGGCTAGATGGCTTTTCAGGATTTTATCACCAAGGAAGAAGGGGAGAGTGGATATCGGAATGCAACTAGCAGGTGCTGCTGTTGTTAGGTTTGGTGAGTTGGAAGTATTTGAACCTTGAAAGTTCAAGGGGTGAGTTTCAGTAGAGTAGTAGATATGGAAACCAGGCAGTAGTGGGTAGGAAATGAGGAAATGGAAGAAGAGAAAATAGAACACATTGGTAAGAAGTGTGTCAGTGAAGGAAAAGAGAGAAGTAGTTTGGGAATTCATAGGGACTGAAGTGTCAGATGAGGGTTTTTTTGTAATCCAAGAGAGTATCTGGAGAGAGACAGTAATGAAGTAAAGATGTACAGGAGGCTGGAGGGAATGGAACCAAGGAAGAAAGAACAGGAAGGATGAAGATAGAAAATATTAGAGTTTAGGAGGGAAATTAAGGGAATGCATGACCGTCGAACTTGATCCTTGGGGAGACTAGTGAAATATATAAGGAACATGTACCTATGCTCTGGTTCATTCCACAGTGGGTTAGAGAGAGCTACTATAATACATGCTATAAATTAGAAAAATATGTGTACTACTGAGGATTCAGCCAGAGAAACAAAAGTAGTAGGAGATATATGGGTGCTATGAAATTTATTGCAAGAAATTGTCTCTCGTGTTTGTGGAAGCTGGCTAGGCAAGTACAAAATCCCTAGGGCAGGCCATCAGGAAGGGCAGGCTGGAAGTCTTGGGCATGGGGTGAAGCTGCTGTCCACAGGTGGAATTTCTTCTTCATCAGGGAATCCTCAGCTCTGCTCTGAAGGCCTTTCAACTGATTGAATCATGTCTACCCAGATTATTTAGGATAATCTCCCTGTCTTAAAGTCAACTGATCACAGACTTTAATCACAGCTATAAAATACCTTCACAAAAACACCTAGATTAGTGTTTGATTGAAAAACTGAAGAATGTTGTCAAGCCAAGGTGACTCATCCAAAGACCATCACAGTATACATAATGCAAATTCAAGGTCAGAGAACATGTGAATTAGAAATAGAATATCAGATTAAAGGAAAGTAAATATATGAATGTATGGGCCTATGGTGTACCAAATTTGGCTCTGGGAGTCTTGAAAGCAAAACAAAAGGGAAATAAGATCATTTGTGTGGCCTCTTAGATCCCCAGGGAAAGCGAAGTCTTCCTGGCATCTATGGCCAGCACCTAGCTTCTGTGGACACCTTAGGGAATGGCTCCTCAATACAGCTGGGCAGATATGGGCATTCCAGCTCTTCACTAGGCCTCCATTGATACCTCCTAGCTGGGTGGCGGGGTTTGGGGGTGTGGGGTGGCAAGTAGCATCTTATTACTGTTTCCCTGTGGCTTCTGATGATACCACAGTGAGGAGGAGGAGGCAGGGCAGGGACGTGGCCTCCTTTTTTGGGCTGCTGGTGAAAATCATGACTCTCCTTTAGTTTCCATCTGACACCACCTTATCAGAGAGGGGTGGGCAGCTCATTACTGCTGGGTGAGGGTGGAAGTCTAGGCTCCCCATGTGGACTTCGCTGACACTGTGGAGAAGAGAGGCCCCATTTCTACCCAGCCAGGATGAAAGTTCTGGCTCCTTCCTCAGCCTTCAACATCACCCTGGTGGGTATTTGGGGACATCTGGAGAGGGTGGAAGTTTAGGTCCCTACTCAGCCTTCACTAGAATGGGTAGGGCCTGGGGCCACTGTTTTTTCCTTTGGTTTTTGGCTATAGTAGAGATGTTACTTTCTTAATGTATCTGTGCTGATGCTTTCCCTGTCTTTTGACCAGAAAGAACATGCTTTCGTTGGGGCTTTTTTGGTCTGTGCCCATCGGCATCTCTGGGTTGTCAGCTGCTCTAGCATCCAATCTAGGATCTATGAGGCAAAAAGAAAACCCAGGGAACTCACTATCATGTTGTTCTTCAACTTCTGAGGCTCCTATTTGGTCTGCCTTCTTCTCTCCACCTTTAGTTTTCTTATCATTGTCTTACATATAATGTTTAGTTGCACTTAGCAGGAGGAATAGGGAAAAGTGTCTATTCATTCTTTCTGGAAGCAGGAGTCACTCCCCTTTGTTTTATTCTTTCCGAACATTTACAGCAGCTTCACAGACATTAATGCACTGAAATCTGCCTTAAAAATTGTCATTTAGAAGCCATTATTACCACTAAATCCCACTTAAAATAAAGTCAAATGTGTCTTAATCTTACCAACACCTGTAAAATTTTAGATTCGGTACTTTAGATTAGAAATTAGCTACCTGGAATACCATCCCATAAACCACCTACAACAGGACAGTGCAAGAAGACACAAATGTCCCTGTACAGTACCTTAGAAAAATAATTTCAAACACTCAAATGTACTAGTAACCAAAAGAATTTGAAATAAATACCAAAAAAAGTCATTTTCGATCTTTCCAATTGTTGAAGGTATTTAATATCTATAGAGTGTTAGTGATGAAGTAATTTGATATAACATTTTAGAGGGCAATTTAGCTACATGTATCAAAAATCTATAAGATATTTATATAATGTGACCTAGAATTGTCAGTGAAAGTATGAAAATGTCTTCAACTTGATTAGTCATCAGAGAAATGCAAAATAAAACCCCTGTGGGATACTACACACCTACCAGTTTAGCAAACGTAGAAGTCCAACTATATTTAATGTCAGCAAGTGTGTAGAACAATGGAAATTCTAGCAGGAGTGTAAATTGGTACAACCACTTTGGAAAGCACACGTTTTTCAAGGAAAGACAAAGATATGCAGAGCCTAGATCCTAGCAATTCCATTGCCACATTTGTACCTAGAGAAGCCAGAGACAGTTACAAAAAATGTTCATAGCATTATAGTT